TTTTTTTCCGTTTGATGGCCTTAAGCTCTTTTAGAAGCACGGTGGTCATATATCTTTCAACTTCAGCGGCATTGTTGCCTCCATTTGATTGAGACTTTACCTTCTGTTTGCTAGGTACCCTCTCGGAATAAAGAACAGATCTATATTTGTCGAGCTGCTAGCAACGTACTAACGAATACCGCACAAATACTATCATTACCACAAAATACTATCGGCTGACTTTCTGGATTTATTCGGCCAGTGTTTTTGTTGATCTGAATACTGCCTGGCGTACATCCGGGCATCATCCCTGATTTCTCTCTTTTTTCGATCTGAGTACTAAGCTTTAATGGAGACAAAAATGCCGCTGAAGTGGGAAGATATATGACCACCGTTCTTTTTTATGATTGGTGGCGACGTTTTACAACTTCGACACGGGCCCAAAAATTCTTGGCAACGCCATACTGCTCCACCAATGCAAGAAGGCTGCAGATGTTGTTCTCAGACATAATCATATTCTCCAATACTCATGGCCTTTGAGTCATATTTTTATACCCTTAACTCGAATAGTAAATACCATATAGTAAATACAATATACCATTGTATTTGTGCAAAAAATTGAATATATGTAACGCAAAGTATATACAAATGTACATGTATATATTCTTGAGCAGCATCAATAGCCGAGTCGATATACAAAATAGAGCCACCAAATATTGCATCCAGATGGCTGTGTGCTCACACTGTTACAAGTGTATAGCAAAAATGAGCCCAGCCCCCTTCCGCCCCCGCAAAGTGCGAAAATCTGCTGCGTTCGCAATTTTGAATAACCATTTCTATAAGATGGAATTCGATTGAATCATTATTACAGTCAGAATGAAGAAATTAATTTTCAGTGGCATATTCATTTTGCATATTCTCTCATACCACACTCTGCTTCTGAAGTGTGTGGGTCTAGGGGAGGGGGCTTAGCTAAAAGAGCGTATTGGCGTGACAAATGATGTAGATGTAGATTTAGATGACAAATGTAAAAAAAATTTTAAATATGTAAAAAAAAACCACTAAGGTCCACATGTCCTACCGAGTACCGGGTATAAAAATTACGCGTAAAAAGCGTCTCACAATTCCCTCCTCGTTGAACTGCGGAATGTGCAAAGGGTATTGTAAGATGTGTTTCCATACATATGCTTTTTATTTATGAATTATAATATTCACATCTTTAGAAAAACGGCCCTTCATGTTTTTTTCCCGCAGATACGGGTTAATTCAAATTGTCGTTCCTCCTCCTCCGCTATGACAAGTGCCTTTAATCCCACCAAAATAAGTATCCTGCTTGGATCCATTTTTTATTCAATGTTCTATTAACTTGGTATTCTGTTTTTAAAAATGTTCACAAAGTAAACAAAACAACACAGCTGCCTGAGAAGTGCAACCGTACGGAATGCGGTTTTCACTTTTGGTCACACGCTGCCGCCAGAAAAATTTATTGCACATTTTGCTAGCAAGTTTTTATGTCGGGCTTTAGCTAGCAAACGTGTTTTTGGATCTGAGTAATAGGCTTAAGACGGTATATTTTATCGATAAATCCGCGGCCACACTGCTTATTCTTCACACGTGCTGAAAATGGGAGATGCTGTAGAAGTATTATTTGTCAGCGCCTGCAGCGAGGAAAACACAACTTGCAGTGTCCAGGATCTGCGCACAGGCACCGACCTAATGAAGTACAAGGGTGGCGGGAATGCCCAACACCACAGTCTGGCTATGCTTGGGCTGAATTATGTTCTGGCAGCCAACACAATGAAGCCTCTGCTCCACGTCTGGCCCATTAATAAGCAGGAGCAGATGTTGAGCTTGCGATTTGTGTTGCCCGGCAAGGCCAACGCTATGGCCCTTACTCCAGATGGCGCGTACTTGTTAGTTGGAATACAGGAGAGCATATACATCTGGCACATGAACACCGGCCGCATGCTGAACACCCTTTCGAAACACTACCAAGCCATCACATGCCTGCGCTTCACCGACAATGGCGAGCATTTCATCAGCGCCGGCAAAGATGGGGCCGTACTGGTCTGGGACCTTACCTTCTCAATTGCACCGCTGGACAATGGCAGCCAGGAGGGCAGTGAGCCCCTGTACAGCTTTAACGATCATGGACTGGCTGTGACGGACCTGCACACTGGAATTGGCGGCATTCGCTCCTACCTATACACAGTGTCCTTAGACCGCTGCTGCAAAGTCTATGACCTAAACGGTGGCATTATGCTCCTTAGCATTGTGTTCCCAGTAGCGCTGCACAGCGTGGTTGTCAATAGGATGGAGACTAGTATTTATGTTGGCTCTGCCGAAGGAAAGGCGTTTGTGTTTCACAATTGGCGAGCGCCACGGATGAAGGTGAGTAACTTCAATAATAATTACATGGTTTATCATGGTTTATTTCAGGAATACCATCTGGAGGAGGAGAAAGCTCAGGCATTTATTGGCCATACGGTTGGAAAACCCATAACCTCCTTGGCTCTGACAATGAATGCCCAACAGATGGTCTCGGCCGGAGACGATAAGCAAGTCTGCGTTTGGGATGTTGTGAGTCGGCAGCTCATGAAGAGTATTTCCCAGAATGGAGTGATCACCAATCTGAGAATCCGTCTTCTCAGTCCTGCCGTTTTCCAACCTCAGCACAAGCAGCCACAATTATTCGCAGACAGTCTGAAACGTATGATCAGCCCTCCGGATCCCAATGATTACATAGATTTGCTCATCACCACGGAGTACCCCAAAGGACGCGGCAAACCAAAGAGGAACTTCAACAAATGTAACTTGGATCCGGAAAATAGCAGAATATTGCAAAAAATTCACCACATAAATCTTGGCGAAGATGACGATGCTATTAACTTTAGCGAGAAGACGTTGGAGTCATCTGAGCAATCTCCTAAAGAAGAAGATGTGCCTTCGGACGTTGGCGATTTTGATTGTGATAATATTGAAGAGGAAGATTATGGTGAAGCCGATACTAATTCACCTTCTGTACAGAAGCTTATCGCCGAAAACCGACGCCTTAAAATGGAAAACGAAAAAGTGGCTGAAATCATGTCGAAGTATCTGGCCAACCAATCGAAAAACGTCAAGGCTCCGCCAGAGAGAAACCGCAAAAAAGCTCGCAAAAACTAGTCGTTGGCATCACCCATGCCTTTTCTCTACTTTTCTCGGTAATATATAAAATACGAAATTAAAACTTACAGAAAGCAAAGAGGTTATCCAAACAATATAATTTGTCTTTGGGCGGCTCTTAGAATGTAGATTGTGCCTTTTCATTTATCCGCTGTTAACTTTCGGGCTACGATGAATTGTAATGGAATGAGAGATCTATCTAAATACGCCTTTTTTATACCCGGTACTCGAAGAGTAAATAGGGTATATTGTATTTGTGTGAATAACGGATGTATGTAACGCACAGAAGGAAACGTTTCCGACCTCATAAAGTATATATATTCTTGATCAGCATCAATAGCCAAGTCGATAGAGCCATGTCTGTCTGTCCGTCCGTCTTTTTTGTCGGCTAGTTCTCAGAGACTATAAAAGCTAGAGCCACCAAATTTTGCCTCCAGACTGCTGAATGTTCGCACTGAAACCAGTTTATTTCAAAAATTAGCCCCGCCCCCTTCCGCCACCACAAAAGGGCGAAAACCTCCCAAACCTACAATTTTGAAGATAAGATTTGAAGAAAACTAAAAACGCCATTCCGTAGGGAATGGCCCTATATATCAGATCACCAAATTGGGTTCCGATTAGATCATTATTATAGCCACAATGAAGATGAATGATGAAATTAATTTCCAGTGGCGAAACCCACCCTGTCCCGCAGCTTTTGTTGTTCTTTTCACATTCTCTCATTCACACTCTGCTTCTGCTTCACTCGGCCTCTGCCTCTGCAGACTTTTAACCCACCCCGTCCCGCAGCTTATATTTGTTTATTTTTGTGTGCGGGCGCTGCCTCTGCCTCTGCCGCGAGTCTGCAGTGTGTGGGTCTAGGGAAGGGGAGCGAGCTAAAGGAGCGTGTTGGTGGGAGAAGTGTTGTAGATGTATGACAGATGAAGAAAAAATGTTAAATTTGACCAAACACCGCTAAGGTGCAGAAGTAGTACTGAGTGCCGGGTATAAAAGTTTTGACGCGTAAGAAGCGTCTCACACGTGCCTTCATGTTATTATTAAATTATCGTACATTTTTGTAACGGACAAAAAGAAGCGTTCCGCGCCCAATTAAGTACATATTTGCATACATATATTATTGATCAGCATCAACATCCGAGTCAATAAAGCCATGTATATACATACAACAATTTGTTCGTCCCTTTACGCCTATTTCCCTGAGACCATAAAAGTAGAGCAGAATCCTGCTAGTTTTGCAAAGGCGCAGAAAAAACGTAATTTTCGGTGCGAAAATTTTTAGCAACAAATATTCTTTGGCGACGCACAGAACTCACACACATGGCAAACTCGAATGGTTCATTGCGGAAAGTCCAATAGACCAAGAACAAATCGGACGTCTTGAACATATTTTCTCCGGGACTGAAATCGACTTCTTGTACCCTGTTTGCTTGGGTCATTGGACAAATACATCATAAGACTAGATCAGAAGTTTAAGAAATATAATTCATTATAATGAGGAATATCGTAGTGGCCATTTCCTCGGCATATTAGAATCCGCTTCCCAAGTCCCCAAATGTTTTTGTCACCAAAATGTGAATCCATGAGAGCTTAATATGGATGGGCAGCGATTTCATCCCTAACTGAACTTAAACTTAAAAAAATAAAATTCTCAAATTTCCGGATAAGAAGTCACTGCGTCGAACTGAAGGATCGCAACAACTATCCCGATAATCCACAACGACGGCACAACTTGCATCATTACTCCTGCAAATATTTATACACACATATTAATAAAGGTTTATGTACACAAAACAATCAAAAAAACACTAAGCAATCTTACAAAAAACAAATGAAGAGATAAAACAAAACGCTGGGAATCAGCTTTACTTTAAGACATTATCATTATTCTGCTGTCCATTCTTGTCATCATCGACATTTCCCTGATCTCCAGATTGGTCCTTCTGCTCTGCGAGCTGTCGACGGATCTCCCTGTTTGAGTTGAGCAGCTCCCGTAGCTGCGACATGATGTCATCGGTGCGCTGCTCCACGGCGTCCAGGGCGCAGCTGAGGGCATCCAGGCTCTGGTTAACATCTTCCATTTCTGTTAATGGCCATTGTGGTTATCAATGCTCTGAAATCGCACCCAACTTACCTCGTAGGTCGGCCTCCTGCACATTTGCATTGCCCGAGTCGCTGGACATTGTGGGATCGTGGTTGTTCTTGGGCGACATATCCCTTAACAGCCCTTCCTTTTCCCTTTCCTCAATACAATTTGATTTAATTTCTGCGATGGAGATCTAATGTCACGGGACATCAGCTTGAAGGCAGTTTTCTCTCGACTTTCAACACTGAGTAGATAGTCTAGACAAATATATCGATACAGTATCGACTAGTGGTGGTATTTAACATCAGTTCCAGGGAAGCCCTTGAGAGTGCAGATCTAATTAATAACATTATGTACATACAGATGTATACATATGCCTCGGTATGATTACAATCTGTTCTTGTATAATTTGTATATTAGCTTTGTTGGTTCTTAAGTAGTAAGCGTTGGTTGTATGCGGGAAAAAAATCCCGCCGTTATGGATATCGATAGTTATTCTCCGGCAATGGAAACATATTTTTACGATGGTTTTGTACCTCTGCCGCCTGACACCTGACATAACATCTATGTACAAATCGAAATGTACTTTAAATACCAAACGAGAATATTGCTTACACAATTGAAAGTGAGTCTGAATGGTTTATAGCTGAATTATTAAAAGATTCGGGAGTTGTATATTTCTTAGCTGCCACGATGCTATGCCACAAAGCAGACAACCCCTCCAAAAGAAAGACGTCCTGTGGGTTTGGCCCATCCGCCAGATCCGAAGACCGTCAGCTGCGACTACATAGGTCCACCAGATCCGCACTCAAACCTGCGTCCCTACGTGAGGCACTACGACGACAACGAAACTACTTTTTCTAAGAAATTGCGACTGATGCGTATCGAAGTAGAGGCTTGGAACGCAAGTTTCTGGAGTAGGCACAACAAACGATTCTATGAGGTTAGTAAGCCCCATCTCTTTCTTTTCTGTCTATCCTACTAGTCATCTCTTTCGCTTTGACGATGACGAAGACTTACAAAAAGTTTCGCTTTTAGGAGAAAGAGGACTTTATACGCCTGCACAAAGAGGCTGGCAACGACGACATCTCAGCCGATCGCATGAGCGTGTTTTACAAGACTTTCCTGGACAAGAACAGGCGCATCCACTTAATGTACAACCTATCGTGGTATATGAAAAACTTTGACATGCTCACATTGGCATTTATGGTGCATGTCCAAAATCTTCTAGAGCGTGCAAAGAAACGAACTGGAGATTAAGTACTCAGATAGGAGTATATTTGGTAGATTTGTTTGGTTCATTTGGCTGATTTTGTTCTGTGCCTCTGTTAAACTGCGGTCTAGTATGTGAAGACTTTTGCGTATTTAAAGAGCCAAATAAAACATCTCGAGTGATTTTATAATTGTTGCATAAAATTTACTTAACACTTATGGAGATGAAAAAAACGCTTTCTTAATAAGCTTAATGTAAAGGCGAAATAGTTAAATGAAATAAAATACAATATATATATTCGTGTTTCTACGTATTCAATGAAGGTTGTGAACATTACATTTACTACTACACCTGTTAAGAAACATGTCCCGCTTTTATGTGTCCACCTTCTAATGGCCATTTTAAGATTGCGAAAAGTAATAATTGTTATGATAATATAATAATGGTAAACAAAAAGGAAGGCACACCACGCATAACGTCAAGTGGGGGCACTAGCCAGGGCTAGGGCCTATCTCTCTGTGCTCTTTGTGGTCGTGGTGCTGGGGGTGGGATGTGGTGCAATAATGTTTACAGTTGAGCACTTCAAACTATGACAACGCTGTCCATTTTCCCCTTCTTTCACTTTCTTGTGCCCTGTCTCATTGCTTATGGGTGATAAATGATTAAGGATTACAAATTAGCTACAGTGGGCGGAGGCACATGTAAAATACATAGCTTACAGGGTCCAATGATCTACAAAAGCACGTATTCATACATATAACTATATATAAATATATATATTTACATGATCTAAAATGTTCAGAGAATGAATTTATATTTGCTGAGAAGTTCCGGTTCACGGGGGGAACTCCCATGTGGGTTGGTTTGTGCTGGTGCTCGCTGTTGCAGTTTCTTCTGTGATTAGTTCATCCACTTGCGACAGTTGGGAGCGCCACAGGCGCACGGTATCTTGTGTGCATCGTCCTCAATGTCAAACTTGTAGTCATAAGAGAGCTGCGGGAGCATACGAAACCATACAATATAATACGCAATACGAAAACACTGCAAAACAGATCCGCATCTGCATATGGATCGGATGTTTGACTTACCTCCTCGCCCCGATATATTTTACGCTTGGCGAATATTATAATTCGCACATCGCGATCGACCTCAACAATTTCCGTCACACAGTTGGGATTGCACGAGTGGTTAATGTAGCGAGCCAGGCCGCCGCTCAGAGTGGCGTCTACGACGCGATCCTCGTCAAGACGGAACATGTAAATGCCCCTATTCTGCAGGGGCAAACAAAGGTTAAAGTTCGATGTCATTTGATGACCAGACGATTTAGTTTAAATTCAAATTGATTGCTTTCCACTGATTCGTACCTTAGATTCGTACTGCTTCTCTCGTATCTCGGAGACCTCGGTGCGAATGACCTCCCCAATATACTCGATGATCATGGTGTGCTTCTCGATATCCCGGGCCGCATACAACCCCAGGCCCTGAATCTTTGACCTAAATGGGGCCAAGGGAAAGAAAGGTTCATTTGTTAGGGCCTATTCCTGATCTTAGAATGAAAGTATATAAACATGGAGAGCCAGTGTAACACACCTGGCCAAGTATACATTGTTGCGCCATTCCTGCTTCATCTTTTTGTACTGGGAGCTCTTGGAGTGGACGAATTGCTTGCTGTAAGGGCAGGCAACCTCCCCGGCAATCGACGCCGAGTTGGCCATGCGCTGGGTGCTGCAGCTGCCTGCAGTCCGCTGCGTGTGCGGTTTGCGCCAGACGAGCAGCTGACGTTGCTTGGGCTCAGTTCGGGCGGCACCGGACGGATTGATGGCCAGCGGGAACTCCAGCAGCGGATTACGACCGTACTTGAATCGGTAGTCAGTGAGCGTCTCGATCCCGGGCAGACTCTCCAGTATGCGCACAATGGCTGGCTCCGTTAGCCCGAACAGGTCCTCGCCGCTGATATGTTGCGGGAAGAGCTGCAACCACTTGTGCATCTTCCGCAGGCGGGTGATGGGTTGCAGGATCTGTTGCCACACCCCCGATGGCGTGCTGGCCTGGAACTCGCGCTCCGGCTCCTTGTCGCTGCCGTCCTGAATCACGATCCGGAATTCAGGCTTGCAGCCGGCCTCAGCTATGGAGCAGATGTACCGGCAACGTCGATTCGGACGCCGCACGCACCAATAGTAGCGACTCTGCGAATCAGGAATGTAATCACAATTGAGCCGACATTGTGCATGGTGCATGGTGCACGGCGCTTCTCACTTACAACATGTACTTACCACCTTATAGCCAATTGGATATATAAAATGGGGCGTGTGGAAGGCCTCCAGTTGGTGGGGCAGCAGTTGGCCCACGTTGAGAAACGTCATGTTGCCCACCCGGAGCAGGTTGCTCAGCTCCGTGTAGTGCATGACGGTGGCAACCTGACGATTTTCGTCGCGGTCCACGAACACCCGACGGTGCACAATGAAAGAGCTTAGCTCGTTCTCTATTGTCCCGATAGCGGCTCCAGAGCCAGAGCCAGACCCAGCCGCGATACTGGCATTGGCGCTTCCACTGCTTGCATGGTTTTGGGTGTGGCAATGGCCATGGGCACTGCAGTGAACGGACTTGTTCTTATAGAAGACGCACTCCTCCCGGATGGCGCAGGGCAGGTGGTAGAGGTTGTTGCAGCGCGACTTGAAGCATTTAATTGTCGCTCCCAGCTGGTGGCAGGCGCTGCACACCTGATTTAGCCCTGCCTGCAGCGCAGTCTGGAAGTTCATCAGGGCCCCGGACACCGTTTCGTACACACCGTTCGACCACAGGGCACAGTTGAGATGCACCTGAATGGGAGAGATTCAAAGATAAAAGGAGTCGTGTCGAGAATAGGTAGGGTTATTTAAGGGGGGTTGGGGTTGGGGTGGGGATAGGGGCGGGGTTGCAAATTTTGCATCCTCACCCATTTGTCCACATCGAAGTTAAGCAGACGTGAGGGTCCGTCAGCCTGGCCATCGCCGCGTTGATTGCAGAAGACGCACTGGCGCGTGTCCTCCAAGTGGCTGACCACATCCGTTTCCCACACTGTGTAGCTCGGAGCGGCGAATGAAGTCACCGCCTCGTTCCACTCCTGATTGATGTTCGCGCCCGTGGAAGATTCCGTGGCGAAACAGTCGCTGCTAAAACATTTTACGATACATTTACGCTGTAGTGGGGTCGCAGGGGTGTCGCTGGTATGCTGGTTCTGCTTCGCATCCATCTCCTCCTCCGGCGGCTCCGTCTTCACCACATTATCTTGGGGAACGGGCGGACTCGAGCCTGATGCAAAGATGCTTTTCGAGGACCCGCTGGCCGTGAGCAGAGAGATGCTGGCCGCCTCGGCTTTCGCCTGAGTCTCCTTCTCGCTCCACTTAAACATAGTCAGGCAGGCGCGATTGCAGAAGTAAAAGAACGGAGGAGGTGGCGTCTTCCGGGGCAGTAGCGCCATTAGTTGGGCCAGCCGGGGCAGCTGTTCCTCCAGCGGAGGCATGCTCTGGTTGGGCACTTGCAGCCCGCTCGATGGGACGACGTTGGCACAGCTCCGACACAACTTTCGCCGCCCATTGAGTATCTTTCTCAGGTGGCCGTTGCTCACGGAGTGCGGCCGCTTGAATGGCTCCTTTTCCGCCTGCTCCTCATCCTCGTCGCTGGCTCCCTTGCCCTTTGACTGCTCGAGGCTAGGCTCGGCGCCAGTCTTTGGGTCCGCCTTCTCCTCGATGAGCTTGCATGTGAGAGCGGGCGTCAGATGTAGCAGATTGGCCAGATCCCGTAGCACGCCGGCTATGTTGTCCGTCGTCGATGAGTGCAGCGAGAGTATCACATTTTGGTTTTTCTGCTGATAGTTGTTGTTGTTGTTGTTGCTATTGCTATTGCTGTTGCTGTTGAGGCTGCCTTGACTGTGGGTGTATCCGCCTCCCAATCCCATTTCCATTTGCTGGCCCTTTCGCAATTCCTCGGCGCAGTTTCGAAGCAGGGGAGAAGTGGGCATCCGCATGGAAAGGGGATCCTCGGCCAGAGCCACTGGTGACATCCGGCCGTGGCAACGACTGTTGTTGTTCAGCAGAATTAGGCCCGGAAAGCGGGTGAGTCGAGGAAGGGCCGTCCAAGCGGTCACTGATTCGCCCTCCACCAGCTCAATGGTCTCCAGATTGGAGTCCTTCACGGCACCGATGTGCCGAAGCAGCCGCTCGCTGGGATTCCGATCGATGTGGGTGGAGAACTCCTGGTCGTAGAAGTCGTTTTGGATGTTGGACATGGGCTGCGACTTTCCCTCTACTCCCCCCAGAGTCCCCGATGGGGATGCAGATCCTCCTGCAGGGCCACCGCTTCCGCCGAAGCGTTCGCTGTCATACAGCGAGGGAATACTGGGATGCCGCACCCGACCGAAGTGCCCCAGCTGCGCTCCGTCACACTCCTCCAGCGGCCAACCCCTGGGTTGGGATCCGATTGACTTTAGCTTGCCGTTGCCAGAGTTGCATCTTCCCGATCCTGAGCCTGTTCCTGCGCCCGCCATCTCGCTGTTCCCAACAAGGAAGTGAAAGTTGCGGTTGAGGTGAGGCTCGAGTACCTGAAGCGGTTGCATCTGGCGGATGTGCGTCAATAGCTTCTCGGTAAATGCATCGTGGTCCTCCTCAACTTTGGAGAACTTTCGCACTCTCTTCTTCAACATGTGTGAGGCGGCGGCACTGCTTCCTCCTCCGCTTCCGCAACCAACTCCGACGACTCCCGAGGCGACATGTCCGGTGCCGGGTGATCCCTGTATGTACTGGGTTCCTGGGGGCATGCGGGCCAGCTGCACCATCGCACCTGCTGGCAGCGTCCCGGACAGATCCTTGGGACTGTTGGCCGACTGCCCAGCGCTGTGATTGCCCCTCCGTGGTTTCTGCACGTCGCGTTTCCGTCGCTTGCGCTGGTCCCCTGCCTTGGGTTCCATAACCATTGGCCCGCTCTGAGGATTGGGCTGCGGATGGGATTGGGGATGCGCCTGAGCATGGGAATGAGAAACCTGCAGCTGCACTTGCTGCTGATGTTGCTGCTGCTGGTGTACGTGCATCTGGCCCTGGATATGAGACTGCATCTGTGCCTGGTGGGGCGCCTCTCCTGGCTGCCCAGTTTTCTTCACGTAGCTGGTTATAGCTGAAATAAGCTGCAACTTGTTTGACTCCGATCCTGGGGGTACGGCGGAATTGGTACCGGGTGGCAGCGGCTTCATACCTACCGCCCCAGGCAGTTGCATTTGCATATGCATCATATCATTGCTGTGCGAGGCATCAGGGTGGATGTGCTGTAGCTGGTCCTTCTCCCCAAGCAGGGGATGCGACTGCATGGGCAGTTTCCTCTTCTGCGCCTCACCCGACTTAAAGGTTATTTTATGGGGGGCCAGGATTTGTCCTATTCCCGCCTCAATGTGAATGTTGCTGTTGTTGTTCTGGATCTGTCTGCTCCAGCTGTTTGTTATTGATGCCGCACCCGCTCCTGCTCCGGCTAATGCTGTAGCGTGTACTGCTGCTGATGTTGCTGCTGTCTTTAAGTTGTCCGAGGTGGTTGGCGGCTGCTCAGCCTGCTCTGATAAGGGTACACCCAGGGACTCTTGCTCCATTGCCATTGGCATGGACATGGACGCGGAAGCGGACTTGTGCTTTATATGTAGATTCAAATCCTTCGAGGGCTTGGTGGATATAGAGATTGTCACATTGGAAACTGGAGCGGTGGCCAGCTCATACGGCGGCGGTGGCAAGAACTCTGCCGGCTTGCTTGACGATGTGCATCCCGAAGACTCCGTCAGCTTCCTATCTCCTATTGATAGAGCTGCGTGCTGTGTCGGAGGTGTGGATATGAACGAAGTCTCCTTGGACACAATCTGAACGGTTTGCTTCACTTGGTGTTGGGGTTGATGCTGTATCTGTTGCTGGGCTGCTGGTGGCGGGGGTGTTGGTTGTGGTTGTGCTAGTGCCTGCTGGGCCATCGAGGATTGCTGCACCACCGAAATCTGCTGCTCTAGCTCCGCAACGGCATTCATTGGAGGAACGGGAGCTTCAGTAGTCGCAGAATTTGGGGCGCTGGCAGAAGCGGCAACAGATGGAGCGACAGGCGGAGCAGATGGTCCGGCAGCAGTCGACTGCTGGCTGAAGTTCCCATTCCCGTTTGCCACTGTGGTGGTGGTTGTGGGCGTGGCCACGGATCCGCCACTACTGCTTACCGCCGCTGGCACCGGCGGAATGACGGGACGGGCCAACTGCGCCTCCAGGGAGCTGACTAGGCCCATGCTCGGGGCCCGCACGTTGATCACCTTGCGGGCAGACAGTGGCGCTGTGCTGGCGGCGACGTGGGCGGAGTTGATGCTGATTTGATTGAGATTGTGGCTGTGGCTGCTGCTGCTGTTCTGAAGCAGCTGCTTCAGCAGTGCGTTGTTCGAGTCATCAGAGTTGAGACGCTGGCTACTGTTACCTGTAGCTGCCGCAGATGCACCGCCGCTTGCTTCAGTGCCTGCGTTTGTGGGTGTGGCTGTGGGTGTAGGCGTAGGTATGGTTGCGCTCGTCACCGTTTGCGTGGTTGTAGGTGGGTCGGGAGCTGAAGCTGCGGCTGTGTTGGCTGTCAGGGTGGTTGTGGCATTCAGACGCTTCTCCGGCGCGACTAGGACTTCGCCGGCCTGTTCAGCCAGCGGAGCCGTAGGCGGAGCGACGGGGGCATCCTTGACTATTGCCTTCTGCTTGGCCAGCAGATTGGTCTTGGGTTCGTTGCACAACTCATCTAGCTTTGGGACTATAATCGAGAAGGGCAGTGCCTCTGCCGCCGCTAGGCTTACACCCAATTTGGTTGGCGTGGTGGCTGGTGTGGTGACCACGCCCAGTCCCAATCCTACCACAGAGGGAACCGACGTGAGCTTTAGCTGCATTGGAGCTGGCGTGGACACTGACACTGAAACTACTGATGCCGACGGTGATGTCGATGATGACGACGAGGGGGATTGTTTTGCCGAATACGGGTCCTGGTTGAGGGCGTGGTGCATCTGCAGCGCGGAGCTGCTGACGGTGGTGGTGATCATCTTGGGCTTCTGCTGGGCCATCGTCGTCTTAGAGAGCACCAGGGATATGTTTTTGTTCTGTATGGAGATGATGGGCCGGGCCCCCATCCCCGGAGTGTTGATGCAGATTGTCCCCGCCGTCGACTTGGCTACAGCCTCATTGAGTATGGACGACACTGAGACGGAGGAGGTGCTGTTGGTCATCTGGTCAGGGGCGCTGCCGGAGGCGGATGATGTCATAGTCACCGTGACAGGAACCGTACCAGTTGTCTGATTTAGGGCGACGGCTGCCACCCCCGCTCCCCCTGGCACAGGCTGCTGCTTGAAGGTATTAAGGCTGGGCGAGCAGTTGTGACTGACTTTGTCCAGGGGCTTTATCACGACGCTGTTTCCAAACTCGTCGCCGACTCCAGAGTCCTGCGATTTCGACTTGTTGAAGATGTTGTCACTGTAGGCTATCTTGTGGCCAGCCAGTCTGGTGGTTGGATTGCGACTAGAGTTGACGTTGACCCCGACTCCCGACTCGTGCGTCGTGTCGATAATCTCGGTGGCTTCGTGCAGCTTTTCCTTAACCATGGCGAATGTTTGGTTGGGATTCGTGGTGGTTATCGACACAATGCTAGCCGTGGCGGGGGCCATACTCGCGCTGTTCACCAGCTGTTGCGCCTGCTGATGCTGGACCTGCTGTAGCTGGTGTTGCTGCTGGATCTGCAGGGACATTTTCTTGCTGACCACCTTGGCGGTGACTATTTTGGTGTTGGCCGGCTTGATCTGAAGGCCCGAGAACGAAACGATCGTGGTGGGGTTTTTAGGCACGCGCTTGATCAGCTTTGTGTAATTGAGGTGCTGGTGCTGGGGATGGTGCTGATGCGCCGAACTCTGTTGCCCGGAGGGGGCAACGCTAGCCACGGCGGTCACCTGACCGCCGGGTTGCATAATTTGCTTGCTCTCGACGATGGTGGCGCCACCAGCTGTAGCCGCCCCACTAGCACTCATTAGCAGCGGCACGGAGATCGTCTTGTTACCTATGGAGACCTTGGCCGTTGTCTGGGTGACCTCGGACAGTTTTTTCGTGTTAACCACCAGCTGGGTGCCCTTCATCTTGGATTGGATATTGACGCGGTTTAGCAACGTGGGCTGGTGGCTTACTTGCTGCTGGCCACTTGCAGTCGTCGCACTGAATATATTGTAGTTAGCCGGTGAGGACTTCTGGTTCATTATAGTGCTACCAGCCACGCCTGGTCCCGATCCGCCTCCATTGTTCGTAGTGCTCGCATTCAGTATTATTGTAGATGTTGTGGATGAGGTGACAGTGACAGGGGAGACTGAAGATGTGGTCACCGCGCTAACGGCTGAGACCGACACGATGGTTGAGTTTTCGGGCACCACCTTTTGCTCAGGTGCCGAGGATGGCAACAGGGCGTAGTCCAGCTCCTCAACAGCAGCAGATGACAACACTGTCTTGTTGGCTTGCTCGACATGCTCGGCTCCTCCACTCGGCTCGATCGAAATAGTGGAGGCCATCGATGAAGAAGAAGATGCAGACGACGGACAGACGGCCTCCTTTTTGGTAAAGCTTGTGAAACCTGAAAATGTTTGAACAATTGGTTAATCATCGACGCCAACAGATACTGTCACAGGTACGTGATGGAATTAAATATAGTAGGCTAGACAAGCTCATACTCACTTTGCTTTTGGCCACCCTCGAGCACTTCTTCAGGCTTGATTAAGGCACTCATTTCAGCGTTAGCAGCAAAGTTACATACTATAATCTGATCCTCGCGCGGATCCCAGACATCCTCGGTGTCACCTTGCTCCACTTGCTGGTGTTGCTGCTGGTATTGGTCAACTGTAGACTTCTCGGAGACAGTGGATGTTTGTTTTGAGGCTGCAGCCGCAGCTGTTACTTGGAATGCCAGTGACGTTGCTTTCACGGACCCTCCTGCGACGACAGCACGCTGCTGTTCTCGGTGGTGCTGGTGGTGTTTCTGTTGCTGTATTAGCTGTTGTTGTTTGGCGGGCAAACTAGTGGATGGCGGGCAAAGCAGAAATTCGGTTTTCAGTTTCTTGCGATTAGGATCTTCGGTATCGTCGATGCTGGTGCGCTTCTGTATATTGATTGCATTAAAATTTAGCGCTGCGGTTGCGGATATTACACGTTCGGGTTTTGCCTTTTCGGCGGCAGCAGCCGCAGCAGCAAGCGATGTTGTCACTTTCGATATATTCATAACAAACAAGTGGACACTGGACAGAGTCAGTCGCTAGCAATAAATGCTGGATCAACTGGAATTTCGTGCTAAACACATACAGAAAATGTTTCAAAACATGCACTATTTGGACAAATTATTTTCGTGTATGCAGTAGCAATGTATCCAGTGTGACCGCGGATTTATCGATAAAATATACCTTGAGGGCCTCGAAAATATACCAAAATATACTTTTCAGTTTCAAAATATACCGTAAAATATACCGTGAATCTAAAATCATTTTCCTCGATTTTGATGTTCAATTTAATATTAACAGCTGGTTATGACTCTCAGCTTTAAAAATGTAATTTTACTCAAATCATACTTATGATACATCTTTCCTCAATTGAATGCGGTCTCTATATTCTGCAAAATTTGTAAAGTATACCACTCCTCCATCATCAGCGATCTTTTTTTCCGACCGAATTTCTGTCTCTCTCTTGATCGCGGATCGTAAGCAATTGAACTTGTTCTAGCAAATTTTGTATTTGTTCTTGAGAATAACAAATATTACAGTCAATATTCTGAGATTTATTTTCAAAATCTCTATTAATATTTAACAATGGATCTGTTTCAATATTAATAATAGCTGTTGATCCAATTGCAAAAATTGGATCAACTGTGGATTGTGGATCAACTATTGGAAATTGTCCAATATCAATGGGTCCCATCGCAATATCTGCAATATTTTCAATTGGATCAACTGCACCTACTGTAATTTCGCAAATTTATGTTTGGGAAATGCTACAGAATTTTGTTACCATTTACTGAACGAAAGTTCATGCAAAGGAATATGACCTACATATAATGAAAAGGAAAATACAATTAGTAAAATAAATTTGGAGGATATATTCTGGTCAAGGACCGTAATCTACACAACCCAATTTAATCACTTTTTCTGAGGTATGGGGCCTAGAAATGGTCTGAAGATATTTTTTTTCTATAGAAGACTTTTTTTCCAGGGAGTTTTTCAAAACTTGTATTGTTTTTGTAATTTTTTTTTAGCAGAAGCTCTTCTTTTTTTACATAATTTAAGTATCTTACATCTGGTTTTAATAATATTTGTCATTCTAAAAACCCGATAAATATATATATTTTGGGCACTCAAGCACTTAGTGGTTTTGGCGTATAATCTGAGAAATTTTAAGCTATCAAATGCAAAAATTTGGATTTTTTGGCGGTATTTTTAACGAAATTTTGACTTTAAAAACTTACTAATATTATATTCTCTAACCTTTATTTTTTTGTGTGTATGTTTGTATTTTAACGTCGTTATAGGTATTGCCGTTCAAAATCTAATTGTTGTACTTTCAATAGTTTTTAAAGTAATATATGCCAAAGTCTATCAGAAAAATTCGGTTTTGTTCCTTGAGGAAAAAAAGTTTGTCGGACAGTGTAAACAAATCAATTCCGACTTCATAAACTATGTTCTCTTTAAAAATGGTATTTTAAAAGCATGCGAGAATCCTCGCCCATCGGAATATGTATATAATAAAAAATCGAACCTAAACGCTGCTCTTCTATATCATGTGTTAGTGGATTTCTCAAGTGGTAATTAAGAATTTTTTTAAATTACTTTAGATTAAATTTTAAAAAATGATTTAGAATATCGAATAATTAGATTAAGAGGTACATATGTACATATGTATATGTAAGTCTTCGAAGAGAACATTTTTTTTTCTAGTGAGTACAAAGTATAGATGTGTAGATGCTTTTTTAAAGAATCGAGAAAGATTTACCAACCTCCTGGTATTCATCAGAATGTGTATTAGCCACAGACATTAGCAAATACATTGTTTGGTTTTTTTACTCCTTAAAAATGTTAAGTTTATTAAACATTCTATTCCCCTTAGAAATATTTGCTTTTTGTAGCAAATATTCCAACAACAAGTGGGAATGTGTAACATGAGCAATTAACATTAAATAATTAATGGCTTTTGCAATTTATGATCTTCTTATAAGAGCATGAATTGGTATCTTGATCGAGATACATGTAAATACAGAAAAAAAAATCAGATGCATGAATACATAGATAAAAAAAAAGTCAGCCTGAAAAAAGGTCATTATTAATTGGTTTAAACGCAGCTTGAAACCTAGAATTAATATTTGTTTAAGTAAATAGGGGATGCAAATTTCCATATTACCTGTTGAGAAGAAAAAAGTAATCAAATTACATTACATTCCGAATACACTTTCGTTTGCATATACCTTATTTGTGTAAACCTTGTTTTATGAACAATCCAATAAAAAAGAGTTTTTCAATTTACCCAATCTTGTAGTGAATTAATTTATTGATCGTATAAAAAGATATGACAAGTGATGAAGTCTAAGCTGGCTACAAATATGAATCGTGTCCTATGATTTCCGATCAACAGAAAATAAAATTAGCCGATTGTCGACCAAATATTTCATGAAAAGAGACCTTAAGAATTTTAGTCCCATTCAGAAGAAAGATATTATGGGGCTATTTAGGTTAAGCTCTGTGTCTTTACCGGATTTCTTACCGTATATTTGGAAAATGAGGTCTACTTCGGTATATTTCTAAGGATCAGACCGTATATTTTCATCCATAAATGCGAGGTCACACTGCCTATAATATAAATTGTTAGATAAATTGATTACCCAAATTTTATATTAGCAATGTGGAGCGTGAAACCAGCCACACAGCTATTCAAAAGCTGTCTATCAAGTAGGTTGACTTCCTTTAGAGCCGAAATCTCCTATGAATACAATCTCTCGAAATTTCAGCAGGCACGTTCGCAGCCGTCCTCACAGCCGGCCTCAAGTATTTTGCTCCTCCAATAAAATATGACAGTAAGTGCACCAAAACTCGTAGATACAGAAGCCTGCTTTTTTACCTTTAACATTTTCTTTAACAGACGTTGATCAGCCAGATCGTCCGAAACTGCGGATAATGGAGCGCATGCCGCAGCTGCCACCTAACCTACGTCCGCCCAAAATGCAGAAGCGGTTGCGATACATGCGTGGCCCAGAACTTTTCCACAACTCGCTCCTCCACAAGCAGTACGCGATCATAGCCACTGGTGGCGGTCGCCTGCGATGGGGCCACTATGAGATGATGCGTCTCACCATCGGTCGTAAGATGAACGTCCAAACAATGTTTGCTACATGGCGCGTGCCCGCCCCCTGGCAACCCATCACAAAAAAAGGGCAGGGTCAGCGCATGGGAGGCGGCAAGGGTGCCATCGATCATTACGTAACGCCCATTAGGGCAGGTCGTGTCATCGTCGAAATAGCTGGAAAATGCGAATTTGTCGAGGTAAAGGCTTTCCTGCAGCAAGTCGCCAACCAGCTGCCCTTCCAGGCGACAGTCGTCTCCCAGGAAATGCTCTACGAGGTACTAGACGGAAAGGAGGAGCACGCACGAGGAAACCAAAACCAATATACCATGAAGTACGTCATACAAAACAATCTAAATGGCTGCCATCGGTGGCTTTCTCCCGTGGATCACAAGTGGTTCGGCAAGCACTTGTAGATCGATTTAATCCTTATTACCACTTATCCCGTTACATACCCGCAATAAACAGACGAATGGTAAAGTTCTCATACCCATGTGTTGAAATTCATACTATGAATGTACAATGTATGCCAATGCATATGCTTTTCCAATGCATGGCCATGCCGGGCCGACCTGTGACGAAATATATATATATACACCTGTGTTCAATGAAATAGTAGTGCTGTGGCTCACCACTTTCAAAACTATTTTTTAGTCATTTCCAAGCATCCAAATTAAACCTTTTAAGAAAGCCTAAAATGTACACATTAGAAACCAGAAAGAATCCTGGAACATTTGCATCCCGTCTTCTTGTTTTACATGACTTTGCAAAAATACCCATTAAAAGTGCTGTTCAATGAATAAAATGTTTTTGAAAATCGAAAATAAAAACCAAAACTCAAGTTAATACCCATATTTTGTGCTCTACATGTTTCTTGATGTTTAATATTTAGTTTTTTATCAATTTTGATTTAATTACTTCCTTGCTCCCGCCTGGAATAAATCAATAAGGTCTTGTCCAAGCTTCAATACGCCTCTAGCAAATCATTTTTAAACACTGGCTCTCTGCTCTGGTTGCCGGAATTTCATTTATTATAATACATTTGGCATTCCCCCATAAGATTTTGATGACATTCAGTTTACATATTTTACAACTTTACACTCATCAGTCAAACTTTTTTTTTTCACTGTGGCACAGCTCAGCCGCATGTAGCGAACTTTAGCCGTACACCCCTATACCTTCAGAACCAAACGCGTAGCTTTAAATAATGTGTACTAAGTCGAACTGTCGTAACATTTACAGAGCGATATTAAATTGTTTTCATAACTTTTGAGGATATTGAAGACCTTTACCTTTCATTCGATAAAAGATACGTTTTTCGCATAAAAGGTAAATTTTTAGGGTTCTTCTGCTAGTTAAAATAGTTAATTACAATTGTAAGAAAACATTCAACTTAGTTTTCTATTCCATTATACCTTCTGACTTCAGTTTTTAATCAAATTCTTAGGGTTTCTCTACTGGGCCGAGAAATGATTTCTTCTACGCTCCAAAAACAAAAGTACCGCCGTGTTCAAAAATTTCTTGCATCAAATTATTCACTATATAAATAAAGCTTACTGATGGTGTCCTTTTTGAATTGATTTGATTTTTTTATTATATTTTTTAAATACTTGCCCCCAGCACTACTATTTTATTGAAGAGGAGATTTCGTGGGTACTCGACTAAAATCATGAAAAAAAAGAAGGTGAAATGCAAATGTAATAAGATTTCATCGGTTTTATAATGCTTGCGTTTATCTATCAAAAAGGTATCAATTGATTAATTCGAAAGACTGGAAGGGTCTCAAAAATAGTTTTGAAAGTGATGGGGGTGCGGCACTACTATTTCATTCAACACATTGTACACATGTGCATGTGTACATACATATGGGCAATTCTCTGACGTCGAACAGCACGTTTGCACTCATTGCAAGCGGTAGAACGTTCAAAAGAAAACGGGTTTTCAAAAATATTTTAACATTATTATACACCGCTGGACTATTGGTTTTGAAGATTTTTGCATAAAAACAAGCACGGGAAAAATACGGAAGTGGTTTTCGAGGCGACCGATTCAAACTCTGATTTCAGCGAGAGTGTAGGCAATAAGATGCAAATTAAGCGAATCTGACGGGACACACACGGGACATATCACACTGGGACCAAAATTACTTGTTAATAGAAAAATACATGTTTGTGTAGATTGAACCATTTATTTCGTAATTCTTTAGATATTTGAGTTTGTTAGCTACTCTTTGTTAAATAACTTTTATCAAGAATCCCCTTTCTTGTAGGAGATAATGTAAAAATTAAAATAGTATTAATTTAAAACAAATTAGGAGGGACGTGTAAGACGCTTGTTTCGCATCACAACTTTTATAGATAAACTAGACCCCAAGTTAAAGTTTTCTGAACACATTTCTACCATGGTAAATAAGGCCATGGGTGTGCTTTGGTTTATAAAGAGGTGGTCAAAGGAATTTGATGACCCCTATATAACGAAGACTCTCTATATCTCGACTGTTCGTCCGATTTTAGAATACGGTTCATGTGTATGGTGCCCTCAGTACAACATACATACATCAGGACCGTATTGAATCAATTCAGAAAAACGTTTTACCCTGCGTGGCCTCAACTGGGATGCAACTGTGAGACTGCCATCCTACCGTAGTATAATCTTTCTAATAAACCTTCCATCCTTAGTTAATCGTAGAAAAAGCTTGGTGTAGACAGCCCTGACTTGCTGAGTCGCATAAACTTTACGATTCCCATTAGACCCACTAGAAACTTTATTCCTTTGTTCCTTCCACTATGTAGATCGAATTATGCCTCACACGAACCGTTTAGGGTTTTATGCTCGGATTATAATTCCCTCTACCACATTATATCCTCAACTAACTCCCTTCCTCTTCTTAAATCTCGTATACTAGCCTACCTCTCCCGTAGTTAGTTTCATTTTAGTTTTGTCTTGTTTCTGATTTTGGTAATTTTTGCGTGGTTAGCTATAGTTGCTCTAGTTTAGTTGTGTTTAGCTCTAATTTTCCTCGAATATTAGCCTAACATCTATCATTCCTGCATGCTTGCGACCGGTTCGGTTAATCGCGCCACGCGTCATGCGGCAGGGCCCCTCGGTCGGTTGGGCGGGATTAGGGCTGCGTTCTGCTGTGTTCCGCGCTTAACAGTCTTTGGCCTGGTGTCGCATGGGCCACTTGATGGTGCAGTCATTGCATATCAACGTCCAGAGAATAATACCCGGTACTCCGTAGAATATCTGTACCTTGCACTATGGGCAAAATGACCGTGTTTGGCATTAATCAAAAAAATAGAGCTAGAGCTCTACAAATTGGCATGAATGTTCGTTAGACTAAAGTAGAGTTTCTGAAAAAAAAATTTAGTCATTTGGACCCCGCCTACCTCCTAACCTCATACGAACTGGAACCCATTTACGTCGAATTTATTATAAACGAGAAGGGACGTGTGAGACGCATCTTACGCGTCTCAACTTTTACACCCGGTACTGAGTCAAAGTACCTGTCCCATATTGTTTTTTTTCCATTTTACATTTGACATTTTACATTTTTTCTACATCTGTCATCTACATCTACATACATAACTTCTCACGAAAAAAGGCGTTATTTTCGCTCGCCCCCCTCCCCTAGAGACACACACTGCAGAGGGCTAATTATACCCGGTACTCAAAGAGTAAATAGGGTATATTGTATTTGTGCGAATAACGGTTGTATGTAACGCACAGAAGGAAGCGTTTCCGACCCCATAAAGTATATATATTCTTGATCAGCATCAATAGCCGAGTCGATAGAGCCATGTCTGTCTGTCCGTCTGTCCGTCTTGTTTGTCGGCTAGTTCTCAGAGACTATAAGAGCTAGAGCCACCAAATTTTGGCTATGGACTGCTGTATGCTCAGTGTATTTCAAAAATGATGATGACTCTTCCGACTTTTAACCAAGACTCGGTTTTAACGCTCTGTATTAGAAAAAGAGTGACCATCAAAGTTGCGTACAAGATGGCGTAATAGATGGCGCCACTTTCGAAAAATTTGCTGTGAAACCTATCGGTCATTATTGCACAGAATGTGCTGACAATTGGACCATCAAAGTTGCGTACAAGAAATTTTCATAGATGCCGCCATTTTCGAAAAATTTGCTGTGAAACCTATCGGTCCAAGAATGTACCAATTTTATTTAGTAGGCTCTTACCACGTGTTCTACAATGTGAACGATATCTAGTGGTTGGCGATGTCTTCTACATCTAGATGTAGTATAAAAGTTGTGACACGTAAGAAGCGTCTCACACGTCCCTTTTCGTTTTTTTTGTGTGCGATCGCTGCCTCTGCCTCTGCCGCGAGTCTGCAGTATGTGGGTCTTGGGAAGGGCGGCGAGCGTGTTGGTGTGAGAAGTGTTGTAGATGTAGATGACAGATGTAGAAACAATTTTAAATGTGACAAAACACCGCTGATGTGCAGATGCACTATTGTCCCAATGACCAGTTTTGGTGGCTGTTTACGCCAGTTACCCAAATTATGGCCCCGAGCAATTAGTATTTTGTATAAGTAAAATTAATTTGTAGCATTAAGCTATTGAATTGTTGCATTTACGACATACTGACAAAAGCTTGTTGTTATAGAACATACATGTAATGTGTGAATACGATAGAGAAAGGGGAAGAACATGCATTTAATAGGTGAATATCGAAATTGAAAAGAAGAAGAGATTAAATTGATTTGAATTCCGACTCGGTCGAACAGCAGCACTTGGCTTTTTATTTCGAGATTTTGATTCCGAACTGGTTGCGAGGAGTTGCGGAAACAGTGGCCAAAAGCAAATTTTTAAAAGTTAAACCCAAGACTCGGTTTTTAACGCTCTTTATTAGAAAAAGAGTGACCATCAAAGTTGCGTATAAGAAATTTTCATAGATGGCGCCACTTTCGAAAAATCTGATGTGAAACCTAGCGGTCATTATTGCACAGAACGTGCAGGGAAAAAGTACCAATTTTATTTCTGTTTTAAATATCTCATAAATTGGAAAATACGATTAACTGATCCAATTTTTTTGATGCATTTTATTTAGTAGTCTTTTTACCACGTGTTCTGTAATATGAACGATATCTAGTGGTTGGCGATATCTTCTAAATCTAGATGTAGTCCTGAGTGCCGGGTATAAAAGTTATGACGCGTAAGAAGCGTCTCACACGTCCCTTCTCGTTCATTCGTAATTTCGTCAGAGAAATGCCCATATGTAAGCGTTTGCCCCTCTTGGATCTGCTGCGATCCCCCACTAACTTGAAAGAAGTGAAAGAATATGGAAGAATTTGGGGAAATGTACGAGTTCTATTGCAAACATTTGTTTAATTTTTCATTTCATTTATGTGGGTAATATGTAATGCATCATATAATATGCTTTATGCCGTTGTAGTTGTATTATAATTAATATATATGTTTATGTTTATGCATGTGTGTGGGTGTGTGGTAATAGCCTCTTCCACTGGTGCCAT